GCCCTGTGTCGGGCCCTCAAGGGGCTGAGTCACAGAGGAAGTCGAGAGTGGGCAGGAGGAGGTGAGAGATGCAGGTGCAGTGAGGTTGCTCCAGGACCATCCCCAGGTCCCTGTTTCACAAGAGACTGTGCTGCCTCAGTGGATCTGGCCATAGCAGGCCCTCTATTTATGGTGAAGTGTCCCCAGCACCAGATGCTCATTCCCCAGCCCCCGGCCTGTGTCACCTCCCAGCTCCCTCTGCACGTGGATGGAGCCATCTTCCCACAGCCCAGTTTGCTCCTTGTCTCCTGCTCTGAAGTCTTCCATGGCTCCCCACTGCCTACCGAAAAATCAAGTCCTTAACCCAGCATGCCCAGGCCTTCATGGTCCAGCCCCACTGCGCAAGGCAGCAACACCATCCACGGGTCCTCCCCTCCAGGCCCTGGGTCCTGCCGTTCCCCCACCCGCCCCCTTGCAACGGGAAATGCCCCTTCTGCTCTGCCAATCCCAAGTGTGCAAATGTAAAACCACAACCCCCATGTCCCCACGTCCACTGGGTTCACTGTGTCCTTAGTTTCAATCAATAATTATAATTAATAGACTGGGCACAATGGTTCATGCCTGTAATCATAGCACTCTGGGAAGCCAAGGCGGGCAGATCACTCAAGGTCAGGAGTTCGAGACCAGCCTGAGCAAGAGTGAGACCCTGTCTCTACTAAAAATAGAAAGAAATTAATTGGGCAAACTCAAAAAAGATTCATATATGTACGAAAAACACTTAGCCAGGCATGGTGGGTGCATGCCTGTAGTGTCCAGCTACTCGGGAGGCTGAGGCAGGAGGATCACTTGAGCCCAGGAGTTTGAGGTTGCTGCGAGGTAGGCTGACGCCACGGCACTCTAGCCTGGGCAACAAAGTGAGACTCTGTCTCAAAAAATAATAATAATAATTCTAATTAATAAAACAGTTCAGGACCTGTGCTCCATACCGTGTCCATCGTCCCTTCTGAATCTATCCAAGAGAAGACTTAGGTCCCTGGCCTTTCAGCTGCGAGTTCTGCCGTTGGCCTGAGCCACACGCTGCTGTCTGCCAGCCTTTCCCGTCCCCAGCCCCACAGACTCAAGCTGTGTGTGCGATCGGCTTTGCTGAGCAAAGCACAGAGATTTTGCCACCCAGCCAGCAGCGACATCACACCGAACATTTCACGTCCTGTTCACGTCCTGGGCCCTCCCTGCCTCCTCGGCTGCTGCTGCCCCGCGTTCTGAGCCCCCTCTGCAGAACAGACCCCCGCCCTCAGTCCTCTATTTAAGCAGCAATGGTTTGGGGCAGGCGTCCTCAAACTACGGCCCTCGGGCCACATGCGGGTGTTATTGCCCATTTGTTTTTTTACTTCAAGATAAGATATGTGCAGTGTGCATAGGAATTTGTTCACAGTTTTTTTTTAAGCTATAGTCCGGCCCTCCAACAGTCTGAGGGACAGTGAACTGGCCCCCTGTTTAAAAAGTTTGAGGACCCCTGGTTTGGGGTTTTTTAGGGGATTATTCTTTCGTTCACAGTGTGGAGCGTTAGAGTCAGAGGTGGGTCTAGTAAGCCCAATGTCATCACTCAACAGGTAAGAGGCCGACTGAGACCCAGAGGTCAGGACCCCACCCAAAGAAAGCCCAGCAATTTAGTGCCACGCCTGGGGCAGAACCTCGTTCTCTGACTCCCAGACTGGGGAGTCTCTTCACCCCGTAACGCCTGCTCTTCCACGTCCAACACAGACAGCAAAGGCGGCCAGGAGGAAACTGACATTTACGGAGCACCTACTATGCGCCAGGCATGATGGTTACGTCATTTAATCCTCACATCCACCCTTAAAGGAGGAGCTGCTATTATCCCCATTTTACAGATCAGCAAACTGACACCCAAAGAGGAAGCCCACAGTCAGTTGCTCAAGGCCCCATAGCTCAGAACGGGAATTAACCCAGCTTGGTCTGAAGCAGGGTTCTTATTCTTCACAGCTATAAAAGCAAACATTTGTGAACTCTTTGCTCATACCAGGTACCAGGACGAACATTCTACATGATTCATCATGTTTAAGCTTCAGAGTCATTCCAGGAAGCACATAGGATTATTCCCATTTTACAGACAAGGAAACCAAGGCTCAGCAGACGGGATTAGCTGTGGGGCTGGAAAGTCCCTCTGGGCAAAGTCCTGGCTGCTGGGCCCAGGCTGCCCCTGGAGCTGGACGTTGGGCAACACTCGGGGACTGAACTAGCTGATCCCTGTGGCCCCATTCAGGGCCAAGATGGGACACTTCTGCCTCCACCCTTCCCTCCCCTTGGGCCCGGGCTCTCAGCTCTGTCCAGCTGCAGCTGGAGAGGCACTGGGCTCGTCTGTCCCAGGAGCTGGGGGTGGACACTTGTAGATTTGAGAGGTGTCTCCCTCAGAGCCACTTGGTGGCCAACAGCAGAAGCCGATTTGGCCTCCTCATGCTCACGGGGTGTTTGCTGGGCGGCTGGGGAGAGCCCACAGAGGGCAGGCCCGGCTGCAGAACCAGGCTCGGACCCAAGGCCAGGACAGGGACGGCTTGGGTCTGGCCCAGCAGCCCAGCAACGTCTCATTGTGTCCCTGTGGGCCCTGATGAAACCAAGCCCAGGACTGGGGGTACCCCGCGGCCAGGCTGGCTCAGGCTGTTCACGTGGGCCCCTCTAAGAGGGAGAGCCTCACCCAAAGCAGGGGACTGGGAGTGGCAGGCGAGGATCCCAGGGGTCCTGCGTGCTGGACAGTCAAAACCAACAGACTGCTTCTGCAAGGGGCCTCGGATGTTTCTGGCATCTTCTAGACAAGAGGCTTCTCTGGCTTGGTGCTGTGCTGCTTCCATCATGCTGAGAGCTCCCCTAGATCAGGGGGTGATGCTTCCACATAAGGAAAGAGAGAGGATGGAAGAAGGGAGAGGGGGAGGGAGGAAGATGAGCTTTTACAGCACTGATGATGTGTTGGACTCAGTGCCGGGCTCGCTGGCACAAGCTATCCCTGCAGGTAAGGACAGTAGTCCCAGCAGAGCAGATGGCCTGTGCAAAGGTGTGACACCTCGAGTCTGGAGGGGCAAGGGAGGGAGGGCAGCGAGGAGGCTGGAGGGGCCTGGAACAACAGGCCAAGCAACTGGCTCTTGATAAAGACTGGGCAGCCACTGGGATGTGGCCTGGCCTCCTCTGTCCCAGTAGGGCCAGGATCCGGCCACCTGCCACCCAGCCCACCCAGAAAATGGGACCCTCTTGGGAAATGCCCCTGCTTGGGCCCAGGCGGCTCTTCCAGGACACTGCCCCGCACCCACGTCCAGACTCCCCACTCGAAGGGCCTCCATCTGGGCCCAGCCTGTGCCCTCCCCCGCAGGGCCGAAGAGACCAGCAAGAGAGCCACGCATCAAAAGGCTTCACCCACGTGCCTCCTGCCCGGCCCGTCTGCAGAGGGGCACGAAGGGGAGCTCTTAGCCGAGATGGAAGGACAACAGTGTTCATTTTGCTCTTTTCTCTCTTTTTTTCTTTCTTTTTTTTTTTTTTTTTTTTTTTTTTTTTTGAGACAGAGGTCTCACTTTTTTGCCCAGGTAAGTTTGAGTGCCCAGTGGCAGTCCAGCACTGCTCAACACAACCTCAAACTCCTGGCGCTCAACAGATCTGGGACTACAGGCATCGCCACCCATGACCGGCCTAATTTTCTATATATTGGCCAATTAATTTCTTTCTATTTATAGTAGAGATGGGGTCTCGCTCTTGCCCAGGCTGATTTCGAACTCCTGACCTCAAGCAATCTGCCCGCCTTGGCCTCCCAAAGTGCTGGGATTACAAGCGTGAGCCACCGCGCCCGGCCAACAGTGTTCATTTTTAATCTACTTTTATGACACTAAAAATGAGGTGGGAAACAAAATAATCACTACTTTTAAGGCAGATAAAAACACATACTTTGTTCTTATTTTTAACCCAACTACAATGATTCCTGGCCTGGCGGGCAGAGTTTTATTACGTGATCAGTGTGTTAACATCTGATCGCCAGCCGCAGACCCCTCTGTCACTGACCCAAGCAGGCCACGTGTCCCCGTAGACTCATCATCTCCGGGTCAGGTCTGTCCAGGTGCCTGCTGACCTGCAAATGGGCTACCAAGGGGGACACCGCCCTGACCTGCTAGGGTGGGGCAGTCAAGCCTTGGGGTGCACAGTGAGTGGGACTCCAGTGGGGTTGGCAAGAGGGGACGTATCTAGAGAACTTAAATCCCAGCTCCATTTACAGGCTGTGAGACCTTGGCCAAGTCACCTCACCTCTCTGAGCCTCAACATTCTCACCTGTCGGTTGGAGATAACAACACTGACCCCACAGAACGGTGACTATTAAGAAGAGGCTTAGCACAATGAGCGCACACAGTGGGCCCTCAGAAATGGCCCCTTTCCTCGCCTGGGTCTGCCCCTCTGGGCTGGTCCCCCCTTTTCTCCTGCCTGTCACCCGCAGGGCCCCAGCCCCAGCCGCAGGGCCTGCAGGAAGGTCCCCTTCCGGGCGACGACTACAGAAGCGAGACTTGCCAGGTGGGTCTGGACCAGCCTCGGACGGAGACGCCTCCGGGGCCCTTCCTGGAGCAGATGGGCATGAGGCGCGATGGCTGTGACGGCCTGCCCTGAGTCACCGCCACAAACAGCCTGCTGCCGCCCCCCGGCAGCACCCGCCACCAGGCGAGGCCCGCTTATCTGCGGCATCTCTGCAGGCCAAGCCAGGGCCGCCAGGGCCGGCAGGGCATTTGATGAAGACTCAAGTCCGAACCTGCCGGCCTGTGCGAAGCAGAGTCGCTGGGCTCTGCCCTGGCCAGGGCCACACGGGGCTTCCGTTACAGGCGCGAAGGCTCCACGCTTCCGTTCATCAGCTCGTGTCGTGCTGCCCGCTGCCCGCCCCTGCCCGCCCCTGCCCAGCCTGCCCTGCACCTCCGCCCTGCCTCCCGTAATGGCTAGGACTCTGCCCCAAGCCCTCGTCTCCTCTTCCTCACCTGCCAGCGGCCACACGCTTCTGGGCCGAGGGCCAGACCCCGGCTGCAGATGCGTTCTGGGGTGAAAGCTCGGGCTCCGGAGCCAGACTGCCTGGGCTTGCAGCTTGGTCTGGCACCTTCTCGCTATGTGACCTTGGGCAAGCTGAGAAGCCTCTCCTGGCCTGTTTCTTCATCTGCAAAATGAAGATAATAGTCACCTGCCTTGCAGAGTTATTGTGAGGATAAGGGGCTTAGAACAGCCATAGTAAGCACTCCTCAATTTTGCATTGTTTTTTTCAAGTTGAACCAACATTTAAAAATAAGGAGATTTCACAGGAAAATCTTGATTTCTGGCTTTTCTTTAAAAAAAAATCAAAAGATTTGGGAAGACGTATTCGTGCAGGGCCCAACTGGCGTTCCTTTTGGACTAGTGGCTCTCAGCCCAGGCTGTACCTTAGAATCAAATTAGAATCACCTGGGCAGCCAGAATCACCTTGCTGCTGGGGGTGGCAAGGGTCCAATGCGGTCAGGACCTCTGGGGGTGGGGTCCAGGCGGCCTGTGTCCAAGTTCTCCTGCCAGTCCTAGCCAGTAGCCAGGGCCGCTGCTTTTGGCAGACTGCAGACTTTCCCGTTGGCCACAGTGACATTTGCCCTTTGTCACTGCACTGTGGCTTCATTTAATTAGAGGACGATTATTGGATCTCTGTCCTTTTAAGAGTGAGCAAGATGACATGACCGAACAAGGTGGCTCACACCTGTAATCCTAGCACTTTGGGATACCAAAATGGGAAGATTGCTTGAGGTCAGGAGTTTGAGACCAGCCTAAGCAAGAGCAAGACTCCATCTCTACAAAAATAGAAAAATTAGCAAGACATGATGGCATGTGCCTGTAGTCCCAGCTACTCCTGAGGCAGGAGGATCACTTGAGCCCAGGAGTTCAGGGTTGCAGTGAGCTGTGATGACACCACTGCACTCTAGCTGGGGCGACAGACACTCTGTCTCAAAAAAAAAGAAAAAGAAAGAAAGAAAGAAAAGCCAGACCCCAGAAGGTCATGGGGTCGCCCTGACACCCGACCAACTTAGCTCACTGGAGTGCCTGCCTTGGCCCCCAAAAGCAACAGCCTGTGACCCCAGTCTCTGCCCACTCCTTGGCCAAGCCTTACCCATATGTCGCTTCAAGACGGGCAACTCTCGAGTCCTCATCTCTAATCCAACCTCGTCATGTTCTAAGAACATCAGGAACTGTTGCTTCTTGGTGCCTCCACTGCCTCTCCTGACTTCCCCAGCAAATTTCTAGGCATCCTTCATGGCTCTACTCAAGGGCCACCTCCTCCAGGAAGCCCTTCTCAATCTGCCACGCAGAGTTGGAGTCTTCCTCCTCTATGTCTCGGGAACATCTCATGCCTCTCCCGATGCCTCACAGAGACATAGTATCCGTTCCTTAGTGATCTGCTCCCCACCAGATTGGGGGCCTCTCAAGACAATGGCCATCTCTGGAGACCCAAGGCCTAGTTTAGGACCCCACCACAGGCAGGAGTTCAGTGAGCATCAGTTGAGTGGCCCCCAGTCCTCCATGAGCCCTTCCAGGCAGCATCTAAGAGAAGCCACGGGAGAAACTTCCTTCTGATTAAATCTCAAATTGAAACACCAGTGGCCCGAGGCTTTGTGAAGTGAAATCTCATTGGGCCATCCAGCCATGCCCGTGGCTTGCTGCTGGCTCTGATTGGCTCACTTCCCCGTCCCTGAACCAATCCTGTGGCTGAGGAACTTCACCACTCTGCTTGGCCAGATCTGAGTCACCTGGAGCCGGTGGGAGGAGCTGGCCTCCTAGAGCCGAAACAGGACAGGTGCACACTGTGGCCCTGCAAGACTTGTCCCTGCTCATCACAGCCACACAGCTGGGGCTCTAACGTTTTCAAGAGGAGCACCCTTCTCCATGGGAACATTTCCCCAGATTGTACATTAGGTATTGGTTAAATGAGAAACTACCTAAAGATTATTTTTAAAAAGAAGAAAAGAAAGAAAACTGTGAATTCAGGAATTCAGCCCGTAGACAACGCCTGAAGGACCCTTCACAGTGACTCCACTTGGCCCCCCTTGAACACACCTGTTGAGTGCATCACCAGGGCCTTATGGGAAATCACTCACCTGCATTTGACAAGCCTTCTCCATGAACGACAGACCCCTCTCCCACCTTGTCACAGCCCCTTTGGCAGGTGTGTCACTGAGGACTCTCTGGCTGCAAGCAACAGAAATGACCTTGCCAACTACAGCAGAAGGAAATCTATGGGAAGGCTGCTGGGAGCTCCCAGGATCCACTGTGGAGGTGACAGAGCAGAGGGAACCAGAATAGTGCAGGGAGGATCCCACCTCCGGAAGGGACGGATCAGTGCCTTCAGCTCAAGGTCCAATGCCAGGGAAGGGACTTCTCTTTAGCCTGTCCTTAGCTCAGGGTGGGACCCCTGAGAGAATTCAGGAAAGAAAACCAGAACGGTGGCCTGCAGGGGCCTGGACACTGGGAGCCGGAGCATAGAACACTTCCCGCAGGGATGACACACCCTTCAGGTGGCTCAGATCGGGATACGCCCTCCTCAACCCGGAGACTGTCCGCTTTGAGCGTGGTGGTCATTTATTTCACTACTGGAGTTGCCACCACTTTTTTTTTTTTTTTTTTTTTTGGTTATTCTGGAAGCATTCACTTGGATTTTTCCCTGCTCTGGTTTTCTTTATGTTTCTATAATCTTTCGGCTCCTGGGTGGTCTGGTTTCCTACAGGCAGCAGCGTCAGCTGGTTCTCACAGAGCCCATGTGCTCATGGAGGAAACGTGGCCCGAGCCGATGTCACCCCACCCACAGAAAGGAAGTGACAGCTACCCAAGGTGGGGAAATGTATGGGCTGTGTCCGCACATGGATGATTTGGGTTACAAGGAACAGAAAACTCAACTCGAACAGCCTTCAACAATAAAGGTGATTTATTGGCTCGCGTTGCTGAAAGTTCCTTCGGTAAAGGCTTGATCCGGCAGCCCGGTGCCAGCAGGGCCCAGTCTCTCTCTCTCACTCAACGCTTGCCTTTCTCAAGACTGGCTCCCCGTATAGGCCCAAGACACCTGCCAGCAGTTGCCGAGACAAAGATCGCCTCCTTCGTGCTCAGTATGGGATTAGAGAAGCATCTTGGCCCTGGAACTCCCAGCAGAAGTCCTGAGGTTCACGCTGATGTGACAGAGCAGGGCCACACGCCCAACCCTCAGCCAATCACGGAGCCGAGAATTGAAATGCACTGGATGTCTTGGTCCTGCCCTCCCCGGCATCAGAGCTGGAGTCAGGCTCTGGAACTGCAGGGATCCCCAGCCCAAAATCAAGGTTATCTGGGAGGGGTAGCCACCGGGGAAGCCACCCCCACAGCACCACAGCACTGGGCAGTCACAGACATGACTGACTAATCATCATAATTGCAGTTCCCTCCATGGACTGCGTTAAGCACTTCACATGCATGAGTTGTATGATTTCATGAATTGTCACGGAACCGTGGGAGAGGCGGCCTGTTAATCCTATTTTGCAGATAAGAGAGCAGGTTAAGTGAGTGACTTGAAGCATCACAGCCAGGATGAGTCAGAGGCAGGATGTGAAGCCAGGTCTACCAGACCCCCAAATCCAGCCTCCTCCCCTCCTCCCAATCCTTCCTCTCAGTCATGTGCTAGACTCTGCTGGGGACGCCAGCAAAGGGAGCACATTTATGCAACAGGCTTTCACTGAGCACCTGCTATGTGTCAGGCATCCTGCCAGACCCCGGGTCAGAGGTCGTTGGGGTATATAGAATCCCTACCTTCTGCAAGGTTCTTCATATCTAGAAAGGAGATGGCCTCAAACCTACGAGGACAGCCCAGCAGGAAGTATTATGTACTGCTGTGTTGGGTACTTCCTATGCATTATCTTACTGAATCCTTACAAGTTCTGGGGAAGCTGATCCCTGAGTTAACACAGGGATAGTGAGGTTAAATGACTTCAGGCCACACAGCTGGTTGGGCAACTCCAACTGGTCTCACTTTCCGGGAGTGGAGGGGTCATTCAGAAAGGCTTGATCAGTGAGAAGATAGCCAGGGCAGGTACAGGTGCCCTGGGGACTTAAGGCCTGGAGGAACAGAGGGACACTGTGGACTGGGGTGGGCAGAGAAGCCTTCCTAGAGAACAGCAGGTTCTGCTGAGCCACGGGAAAGCGAGGGGGACAAGTTCAAGGTGCCCCGGCTGGCACTGGTGCCAACCACCTCCCACACGTGCCCTGGGGATTCGCCTTCGCAATATTCCCACCCCTGGGAACACCCGTCGCAGAATCTCCAACACGGAAACCCGTTTGACTGTCTCAGCAGTACTCAAGGCCAAGGTTAGCATAGAGGGTCATAACACTGGACTACAACGTGCAGGCCCCAACTCAGCTTCCAGTCTTCATCTCAGCCTCACAAGCAGCTGGTGAGGTAGGAATTGGAGACATGCAAGGAGAAATCCAGAGCTCAGAGGTCACAGGGCCGAGATTCAACCTCCAGGCCTGACCCCGGAGTCCCTGCTTGTCCTGAGACACTGGAACCCCTCGGGCGCTGGTGCACACACAGACTCACGCACACACACGGTTTTGCATCCTGGCTGTCAGGGGTGGAAGGGGCTGGTGTCCTTCCTGAGTCATCCTCCTCCAGCCTTCTCTCTGACCGGCCCTCCAACCTGGGCTCCTGGCTATGGACTTTCCAGAACCTTCAGGAAGACTAGTTTGTCTTGGGAGCACCCTCACCAGGGGGCTGGGCTCCCCAAGCCTCCCCAAACCTGCCACTCAGAGTCTCAGAGTCTTAATGGAGAAAACAAAGGCAGAGAGAGGACCGTGGAGAAGAAGAACGTGTTTTTAAGATAAGCAGACCTGAGTTTGAATCCAGACTCAGCCACTCACGCGCTGTGAGTCCTATTAATTTTACCTCCAAATGTACCTGAAATTCACCCACCTGTGTCTCCTGCATCACCTCCCTCATTCAAGCCCTCTCCTGCCCAGGCCACCATCGTAGCCAACCAACTGGTCTCCCGCCACCCTCGTGCCCCGTCCATCCATGCTCCACAGTGCAGCCAGAGGACTCTTCACAGAACCCCCACTCGGTGATGCCAGCCCCGGTCAAAACTCCAGTGGCTTCCCATTGCTCTCAAGGAAACTCCAAAACTC